TTTTTAGTTCATGGACGTAAACTTACGTTGTTTATATCTTCACGTTTGGTATTAATTTAAAAGAATTAATTTTATTTCATTTCATATTTATCATATATTTATTTTTTATTAAATTTTTTTAATTTTTCTTTTCCTTTCTTTCATTATCTACCAACAGTTGTTTTATCTAAATTAGTTCATATCTATATGATTTTACGTTTCTTTTCAGTTTCATTAATCTAGAATCTGTTTCTATCTATATAGATTATATATTCATTATATCTATTTATCTCAGTTTTTCATGAATCTTATATAAATCTATTTTCTAATTTATTCATTTATCTAAAAAAATATTTAATCCAATATAAAAACAAAAATTATATATATATATATATATATATATATATATATATATCGTTATATAAATATATATACAATATATATATAAACAAAATCAATTATATTTGAACAAAATTCTTAAATGTCTATAATTGTTAACAGAAGCCATTGGTTTATACCAACGGCTTCCCATACTCATATACTTCTCCAATTCATTCTCGTGTGGTCATATGTGACGTCATGAGATGCGGTGGGATTTTCGCTTCTAGCGTCTTATATGCACGTGTTTATCGTTGCTTAGAAATCATCTATGTAAACAATGACAGACTATCATCACTGTCTTGTCCGTATATTTTTTAATATGTTGTAATTGACATCTTTGATAATGGCTTATATAAGCCGAAAGCTTAGATTGTATTAAAAAAAATATGGATCAATATTGTGAATTTCTTTTCTTCGTTCAACGATAATGTTATTAAACTTATCAGATGTTACGAAAAAATTTACATAAAATAAATAGACAACACTTGTCTATATTATTTAATGAAACATGTATAAATGAAAATATATATATATATAAAATATATATATATATATATATATATATATATATATATATATATATATATATATATATATAATAAAAATTTATTGAATACGACAGACAAGGACAAATTTTTTATTTTTTTTTTATACAATTTTTCATGCGATCTAATTTTTTTTCTTTTCAGATAAATTATATAAAAACTGTCCGAATGTTCTTTTTATCCGAGTGCTTTCGGCTATACATTTAGCCATTTTCAAGGATTAAATATTTTAACTGTTAAATAAGAAATAGTTTGTTGCATGTATGTTTTTATAAAATGTTTTTTTTTTCAAAACACGGTCAAGATATTGTGTCCATGTTCAAAGTTAATATTATTAAGTGTTATTTTTTTTTTTTTTATTATATAATAGCTTCCATTATTTTAAGCTTTTTTTTTTTGTAGATGATGCTATTATATTAGTGTTGTTAAAAAGTATGTTACGAATAGTGTCCGGTAGGTCTCCATGAATATTTAAATGAGATGTAATTGAGCTATGGATCAAAAGGTTAGTGAGTCTTCGTGTCAAACATTTGAAAATTTAAAAAAAATAAATAAAAACGTTTTACATTTGTTGTTGTAAAACATGAAATTTCAATATCATGTTTAAAAAAATAGATAGATAGATAGATATATTTGGAATATAGATAGATTAGAAACATGAATGTGTGTGTGTTTAATAAAATTTTAGATATATAAAAAATAAAAATTTGATACATAAAGGTGGTTTGATTTTCACTTTTAAATCAAAGGAACATATGATCTAAAATTTTTCTACAATGATTGATAAATTATATAAAAATTTGTATATTTTTATTTATATAAATATAAAAATTACATTTTTAGAGAATTTATAATATCATGTAAATTCATTTTTAGTTTGAAACTATTTCAAATTGGAATATAATCTTAAAAATTTTTAAAAATGAAACATTATATGAATACATAAATACAACAAAATATTTTCATTTTTATTTATATTAATATTTCAATTTTTGAAAATAGCTAAATAAAAAAAAAAATTTTTAGATCACACAATAAAATGTATAAAATGAACAAATCATTTTAATGATATTCATCCGATTCATATGACCATATATTTTAAATATATATATATATATATATATATATATATATTTATATATTATATATATATATATATATACACAAGTGAATATATGCCCAATATATATATATATATTTATAAAATATATAAATATATATATATATATATATATCGAATATATATAAGAAATGGGAATATATATATATATATAAAATAATATTTATGTATATATATATATATATATATATATATATAATATATTTATATATCTAATATATATATAAATCATTATATTTATATATATATATATATATATGAAATATATATATTATATATATATATATATTTATATATATATATATATATATATATATATATATATATATATATATAGAAAATAGGAAGGAACTGGTTAGGTAAATAATAAAAAGTCCCTTAGTATTTTTTATTTTCAAAAAAAATAGTGCTCGATATAAAAAGTAGAGTATAAATATAATTATTTATTTAAAAAATATGATTCCAAATCGCGACATAAGAAGTCTCATGTTTCAAAACAAGAGCCGAAAACTTCATATATTAAAATTTTAAATTAAATTGAGTTAAAATAAGCTAATTGTTCCATCTTCAAGCGAAATTTTTTTTGGAATAACGTGTTTCTGAAATTTACTTGTTTTAAAAATTGAAATCAAAATTTCCATGGTAAAAGCTAGGGCGAATTGTTTATGTTTTTTAGGCGGGTGTTGGGTGTTAATAATAAGTATCAGTATAGAGTTACTTTCATAGATGTCAAGTCAGGGAAAGGTGGGGGTGTCTAAATTTGAAACGGAAGATGTATTAACCCTCGTCTAGTTTGCATGTCTATGGAGATTTATTTATTTTTTTATTTTATTTTATCAAAAGGAAAGGGATTTATAAAAAAAAAAAACTGTCGTAACGTTTGTTTTTTTGACGACTTCATAAAGGGTTATTTTTTTTTTTAGGGTATTTAAACTATTTATTTGGGCTATGGATTATAAAAGGGTTTATATTGTATGCATGTTTTAGTTAATTATTAAAACCATGAATCTGATGAGTGGGCTATGGATTAAACAATATCATTATTATATAAATTTTTTTTTTGTTTTAGCTAGTTCAAAAACAAAAATCTGATGATAATACAAAAAACCGTTTAACTCGTGTCTATTGTTTAATAGAATTATTTTTAAAATATATATATATATATATATTCATATATATAAAAAGAATGGAATAAATTTTATATACATATTTAAATTTATTTGTTTAAAAAAAATTATATTTTATTTTACACATTAATATATACATATATATATATATATATATATATTTACGAATATATAATAAAATTAAATTTCCGTATTTTTTTTTTATTTAAAAAAAATTTTTTTTTTAAAAATATAACTTTTTATTTTTATCCATACATGATTGGTTTAAATTTGGAAAATAAAATTCCATTTATAATATTCTATTTATTTTGGATATAAAATATTTTAAAATTTTGACTTGAAAATGCTTGTTTATTTAAAGAAATACAAAATATAATTTAACTTTCCACATGTTAAATAAAATAATAAATAAATTTGATTTGAAATTAGATTAAATAAATAAATAAATAAATAAAAATATATATAATTTGAAAAAAAAACAGAAATGGAATATAAATATCCAATTGAAAAAAAAAAAAATTTTAATTTTAACATTAGTATTAAATTTGAAAAAACTATTTTAGAAAATTTTAAATATTAAATTTGCCAAATTTTCAGATATAGGAAGAAAGAACCCATCGACGCACATAGATTCGTGTTTATAAATATTTAGGATTTTTATTTTATTTTTTGAATAAACACGTGCAATTTTATTTGTTAAACTTTATCCAATAAACAAGGGAAAAAATATATATAAAAGGTAAAAATCCATTTTTATATAATTAAATTTTAATTAAATATAAAATATTAAAATGAAAAAAAAAAAGAACTTTATATATTTATTATTACAGAACTTTTATAAAAAATAGCCTTTTAAAAATCCAACTATTTTATATTTGAATTATTTTAAATAATATTAAAGGTTATAAAGATATAAGTCGTTATCCATTGAATGAGTTTTTGCTATAAATAGAAATTTAAACGAAAAGATAAAAAGGGTAATTCAAAAAAATAATATAAATTTAATTATTTCAATGTTAGAAGTTTGCAATACTTTAAACAGAGGAAAATAGAAGGTATTTGATTACAAAAAACAGGTTTTATAAATTTTTGGAGATGGATAAAATAGCAATATTAAAATAACTCTTTTAATAAGAAAGAGAAAAATCAATTAAACACCAAAATTACATTGAAATATATATTTAAAATTTTATATTTAAAAATTTTTGATTATTAAAAATAAAAGTTTACATTGGTTTTTTTAGTTATATTTAAAAATTAAGTTTTATATATATATATATATATATATATATATATATATATATATATGTATTATGTATATATAAAAATGATTATTAATAAAAAAAGTCATCGTTACCAAGGGTTTATTCTTCTTAATTAGTCTTTTTCAAACTGTTGATTTCTATAGACAACATATATACCCCCAGAAATATAATATATACTACTCTTTATATAATAGTATAAAATATTTGTGTATTTTGAAATTGTTTGAACAGGCTCCCTATCTTTTGGACAAGATTCTGTAACAGGGATTTTATCCGTCCTAGTAAAATATAAACCCCGAATAATAAGTGGCCATCTATAAAAAATCTATCTATCTATTTATCTATCTTGATAAGATTTATCTAAAATCAGTCTTTTTCATGAATATATCTTTCTCAAACTGTTCGTAATATATATAGTTCTATCTGTTGTATCTATGGTTATTATAGACTTAACAAATTTATCTATCTAATATCTAATTATTTATCTATCTATCTAATAAAACAATATATATCAAGTCTGTTTATATATATATCTATCTCAAATCAGATATTGCCCGTGTCTATCTGTTCTATCTATCAGAGTATGTTCATATTATCTATCTATTTCAAACTTTTCATATCGATCGATTATCAAAATAAAAGGTCACTTTTCATATCTAAACATCTATCTAATAATCTATCTATCAATAATCTATCTATTTATTTATTCTATCTATCTCAGTCTGTTCATATTTATCTATCTCAAACTGTTTGTATTTATAAATCACATTCTCTTTATATCTATTCTTTACCTGTTCTATCAGATTTGTTTAAATTTATCTATCAAAAAATCATTATCTATCTATCTAAACAATCTATCTATCACAGTCTGTTCATATCGATATATCTATCATTCAGTTTGTAAAAATTATTTCAAATATCTATTTATCGTTATCTATTTATCTATTCTATTCATCTATATATCTGAATATATATGAACATTCTATCTATCTATAACAGACTTTTAATAATTGATTCATTATCAATCTCAGTCTTTATCATATTAAATCAAACTGTTCGTATATATATTTATCTGTCTATCTGTCTCTCTAATATAGACTTTTCCTATCTACCTACCTACCTATCTATCTATCTATCTATCTATCTATCTATCTATCTATCTATCTATCACAGTCTGTTCATATCTATATATCTATCTATCTCAGACTGTTGCCCGTATCTATCTCAGTGTGTTCATATCTATCTATCTATTTCAAACTTTTCATATCGATCGATCTATCAATCTCAGTCTTTTCATATCTATCTATCTATCTATCTATCTATCTATCTATCTATCTATCACAGTCTGTTCATATCTATATATCTATCTATCTCAGATTGTTGTCCGTATCTATCTATCTCAGTATATATATACTATATATACTATCTATATATTTCAGACTATTCATATCGATCGATCTATCAATCTCAGTCTTTTCATATCTATCTATCTATCTATCTATCTATCTATATATATATATATATGTGTGTGTGTGTGTGTGTGTGTGTGTGTGTGTATCTGTTTTTGTGTGTATGTGTGTGTGTAACAAACAATGCATTTGTCTTTCTACTGTCTTCAATAAACACTTGATATTCCGAAAATGCATGAAAATACACAAAGGCAGTCAAACTTGGGCTTTTCATCTCAAGTGCAGTGGTGTAAGCATTATTCTGCCATGTTGACAAGGGTAATATATCAGATTGATGCAATCGAAATCTGTTTTTTTGTGAGTGGGGCATTCAGTTCGTTATCGTTTCTTCTGCTCCCTTTAAATGACCTCTTCCAGAAATGTAAGTAAAATGGCGTGATCAAAATGGCGAATCAAATCGTTAGGAAAGAATACGGGAGCGGAATCAATCTAGTCAACTTTCTATGGAAGGCCGACTGCGAAATAATATATACGACATACTACAAGGAAACAATGAATGACTTAAAAATAAATAAATACGTTGAAAAATAAAAATGATTACAAATAGAAACATATACAAGAACAGCAATAATAATTATAACAATAATAATTTATTTTTATTTCCTTCCGGGTCTATACTATAGACCTAGGTACAGGATTGGCAATATATTTTACACTGAAAATTTTGCAACAGAAAATAATAATAAAACAATATTTTACGTAGATAAAGCCCAACGTTAAGCGTGATTTGTACTTGTGAGAACAATTTTTTTTTTTTTTGTATTTAAGGCATGGGTTACCATAGGTGACTTCATTGTGTCTATCAGTAACTTTTCTAATCAATCCGAGGGCTCAAACTACAAATGATGTTGTTGATGTTCCCATGTACGATATTTTTTGTATTTAAGGCCTGGGTTACCTGGGATGACCAGTGAGTCTATCGGAAACTTTCTTAATCAATCCGAGGGTTCCGACTACAAATGGAATTGTTGATGTTCCCATGTATGATATTTTTTAAATATTTTTTGTATTTAAGGCCTGGGTTCCCTGGGATGGCCAATGAGGCTATCGGAAACTTTTCTAATCAATCCGAGTGCTCCAACTACAAATGGAATTGTTGATGTTCTCAAGTGCCACAATTTTGACATTTTCTCTTCAAGATCTTTGTATTTTGATAGTTTTTCTAAGAAAAATAAAGCAGACATTTTCTTTTGCTCTTTGTTCATGATATCTGAAAGATTAGCTTTGATCATTCTCTCTTTGTCTATTGTAAAGTTCCATGGTATTGTTACAAGTGCCATTTCTGCAATTGGGTTTGGGTGACGTTCATACCAATTTCTTGCAGTTTCCTTTCCGTAAAAGTTGCATATTTTCCAATGCAGATATTAGTGCAATCTATTAAGCCAAGGTTTATATTCAGTTCGTGCTAACACTGTGCAACCTGATGCAAAAGGGTCAATTGTTTCTGGATATTTATCACAAAATCTAGATTTCGGGTTAACACAGTTTTTCAGTATGTCTGCTTGCTAATTTCTAGATAGCAAGCATTGGTCCTGCGCAACAAGTTTAAACAATACGTTTTCAGCTTTTAACCCTGCACTGATGAGTACTGCGTTGGTCTACATTAGATCGTTTGGTACGGGCTGAATATTGACCGTGAAGAGGCTTATCTTGCCATCGTTTCTGCGTATGGTACATTGCATTTGATTTTGCTTTCTTTTTAGGTTCTTTGCCGCTGCAGTAGATGCATTATGGTTTATTTGCACTTCCTCACCCTCTTGAAATTCAATTTTGAATTTTATTGGCTTCCTTTATTGCCATATAAAGCTTATTCTTCTTCTTCTTCTTCTTCTTCTTCTTCTTTTCTTCTTCTTCTTTTCTCATTATTATTATTATTATTATTATTATTATTATTTCCTTGGATATCTCTTTCGTATACACATTTCTTTCTGGGTCCCAACTAGAGACCTAAGGTTAGAAAGGGCATTATTATTATTATTATTATTATTATTATTTCCTTTGAATTCTGGGGTGTACTCATTTCTTAGGAGGCATAGAAGAGTAATGGATAGCGGCTCGGATTGAGGAATCGGAGAGCCGAGTTCGAATTCCAGTCGAATCCATTACATTCACTTACGTGCTAATATCCTTGGAAAATGTATGAATCCTCTTATTCTACCCCCAACTATGGGTAAATAGCAGGACAGACTGGGTTCTATAGCCTTTGATTTTTTATTTTAATTGGTGTTTTTATTAACATAGTAAGAATTTGTTTATATCGCTTATTTAATAGTTTTGTTTTGGTTTCAGAACTTAATTAAAACTATTTATTCAATTTTGGAGTTGATTGTTATACTTTATTCTAACTATTATTTGGGCGGGAGCAGTTTTTACACATGCTTTATCTCTGATATTGATCACTTCATCCATAAAGACTATATTTCTTTATATATATATATATATATATATATATATATATATATATATTCTGATGGAGTGTAACTGTAGAAGAGACAAAATGAAAAAAAGACAAGAGGAAAACTATACTCAGATTGTAGATGAACTTTATCAAGGCCAATTTGATGATTTTATTTTGGAACAAGTATCTGTATTTTAGTTACGCAAAATTTTAAATTAAAAGACGCTCATAAATATTCATCACGTTAACTGAAATGTTTTGGTATTCAACATTAGATTGCGCCAATTAGCATCCCCGAAAGAAATATTTTGATTTGTTTTAAAAAAGGAGTATTGTTTGGATTGTGATCAGATTGTTATGGACGTTTGCTTTATACATCTTATATGTTTGCTTTGATAGTCCGTCAGATAACGAAACGTCTCGCTAAAGAGTAAGTATATTTTTTCTCTCATGTCATATATATATGATGCTCGTAAGAGCCAGTTGGTTAATACTTCCGGGTCAGCGATCACTGAACATTTAATAAATTGCAGGGATTGTGCGAAGAACTTCAGTCCGAATTGGTTTACTGTACTGTCCAGTTCGCACTTTCCATTTCATTTGAGGGCACTTGAGTCTCTGTATATTCGGTCCAGGGAGCCGTCTCTTTGCAAGCAAAGAGACTGTCTCCTTGGGCTTCACGTTATTACACTCTAGTGTATATCATACTTTCCCCTCACACTCCCCGTTATATTTTTTTTTATTTTTTTCCCCCTTTGTGCTGTGCATATTCGCACGGTTTGAAATATATATATTTTTTCCCCTTATACCATTAATCATTTCATTTTTAATGTTTTAATTGTATGTAGGGTGTTTGTGTGAGTCAATATATATTGCAATAATTGTTAAATTGTTCCCAGTCGACCCTGATGAGCTTGGGAACGAAACCGGTTGGTCTGTTCTGTAAGTGTTATCATCTCTTATTTTTTTTTTTTTTCATTTTTCATAATGCCTTTAGGAAATAATTTGTATCTATTCCTTGCAATATTACGGTTTTGTACCTCCAACAATTTATTCATATATATATATATATATATATATATATATATATATATATATATATATATATTGTTTATTTAAGCAATCCTTCATTTATACATGTTTTCATTAAAGCCGACAGATAAGGTACTACGATTAAGCTTTTTATTTAATTTTTCTTGTGTCCGAACAAATGTGTGTAGAAACTGTTGAAATGTTTTGTAATTCCGAGCTCTTTCGACTCTACTTTTAGCCATTATCAAGGATGATTTTATTTTTTCAATTTAATTGGGTGTGTGTATGTTTTTAAAATTATAGAGATTATTTTTTTATTTTCCAAACACAGCATATTGTAGCCGTGTTCGTAGTTAACATTATTAAGGGTTGACTTTTTTATTATTATGGCTTCCATTATTTTTTATCTTTTTTTTTACTTATGGCTGAGGTTAGTTAATATATTTGTATTTTCTACTAGTATGTTTCGGATGGAATCTGGTAAGTTTGTGTGCGTGTTTAAATGGATTCTAATTGAGCTGTGGTCGAATATGTGTATCGTAAGGCGTCATGTGACCAGTGTAATTATTTATGAATTCGATTTGATCAAGAACACAATTCCTTAAGGGTCATTTGAACTCGTAGATAATGTTCGTTCGTTGTAATTTGAATTTTGCTGGTATGTTATCATTTTTGAAGATAAGGTTAGCTGTTGTAAACTTTTTTGTAGTAGTTAATTAATTTGATTTTTTTTTTGTTCGAAGATTCACCTTGTTTGTAGTTGATGTGCATTCTGTTTCTGTAGAAAACATGTTTAAGGAAACGTATATATATATATATATATATATATATATATAGAGAGAGAGAGAGAGAGAGAGCGAGAGAGAGATAAATATAGATATATGTATTAAGACATTTTTATGTTTACATTTAAATAAATGCTCTGTTTATAATAAACAGTATTAACAAAAAAGGAATATATAAGCATAAAAATGTCTTTAAAATAATTGTCAGACTTTGTCCATTTCATAATGTGTGACGTCATTTGTTTACATTTGGATACGCATCGAGCAGATATGAATGTACGTGAGAAAATCATGGAAAATTGTAATTTAAAAACAGTAAAATCGACCTTGCCAACCGAAACGCTCCACTGTGGCGAAATCGGTAAAAACACGTCAGGCTATATGACGGTTCCGTATAGGATACAGGTTCGAAAATTTCTCGGACATTCAGGCCGGTAAATGTTGTTTAATACTGTTTATTATAAACAGAGCATTTACTTAAATATTTGTATCTATAAAAAGAATGTATAGACATAAAAATGTCTTAAAATAATTGTCGGACTTTGTCCATTTCATTATATATATATATATATATATATATATATATATATATATATATATATATATCCAGGTAGAATGAATAAAGTACAATTCCAACGTTTGTAACATTTAATCTAAAAAATCTATTCAGAGTAGAGCAATATTCTTTATTTTAGGATATTACACTGAAAACATGTAAAAATCGCTACACAATTGCAGTCATGTTTCAATGCGTATCAATGGATCTCATCAGGTAATTGTAAATTATTGGCGAGTGAACGATTTATTTAGATTTAAAAGCAAACACAACCTCGTTTTTACGAAAAAAAGAATAAAACGGTGGTTATAAAATTTGTTAAATTTAAACTAAACGAAGAAGCAGAAATTAAAAATTATTTTTATAAATGTGACTATATTTTAAAATTTTCATTTTCGAAGCCATAATAAAATTTTGTATCCTCCGCAAATTATTTAGATATTATAACATTGTTCTGAAAATAATGTCTGAATTTAGAACAAACCTTTTAATTTTGTTCTAATATATTACTAAAATAATAAAACGAAAATATATTACTCGTTCTTAATGATAAATGTGTTTCTTTTTGTTAATTTTATGTCAATTTCTTTCAGAATTTAACTTAAAACCTTATATACAGCTCATTTTGAGCATGAATGAAGAAAAGATGTTTTTACTTTTTGCGTGAGTTCATGCCTTTGTCATCATGCTTTTCAAGCTTAACAGAGCATGGTGTAAAGGATCCACATTTGGTCGGAAATACGTCACTCGTTTACGAAGTTCCGCAGTGGGGATATGAGTCGAAAATAAAGTTGGTAGAGGATACCCATCTGCATTTGCCAGTCAGCATTTGAAAACACTGATCAAAGTGTCAGAGAAATATTTCAGATAGTGGGTGTCTGCATTCCAACAATCTCGAATCATCTCAAGAAAATCGGCAAGGTGACAAAACTCGATAAATGTGTTCCACGTTTTGTGTTCCATGTTGCATCTACGATACATTTCTTGGACTTGTCATGAGAAATGAATTGTCCCCTCAAGACATAGGCGATCATGGCTCTCAACAATCTGTCCCTTGCTGTTCTAAATAAATTTTGTCTTTTCTTTATTTCTAAACCTTGTTCCGTCATTCATCAAGTTCATCAAGTATGCTATGCCTTGTTTTCTTCCGTCCCTCTTGCTCTCAATCTACCCTGTGAGTAACAGATTTGTGTTATTTTGTACGGCAACACTAATAATATGACAGTTCTTGGTGCCCAATAACATACGACCGGCGATGGGGTATCGATATGATTGTCTGCAAATCCTAATCCCATAATAACCATTATTATTACGTGTGGTATCATCTTGCCAGAGAGTAGCCTTCAATACCAAAGATTCCATTGAGGTCTATAAATAAAAAGGACACTGTAAGAAAGTTATCTATACCCGGTATTTGTTTGGGACGTTTCGTTTTGATGGAAATGGTTTTCTGGATATGTAACTGTGAGCTGTTGATGTGGCCAGGAATTTTAGTCACATGTTTTTCGGTATCCTTCGATATCATACCCAATGCAGGGGATAATTTTAGTTTTAAATTTCCATATTTTTGTTACTTCTCGGGTTCTTATAATTTGACAGTATTCGAAATTCTTTTCATGCCAATCGTAAACGATGGGTCTCAATGGCACCAACAGAAAATTATGGCGACTGTCTGGTGGTCGGGCCATTGGCGTTATTCATTCCAGCTTGCCTGGAATCGAACTTTGCATCACTCTCGAGTCTTACTGTCAGCAACTAGGTGAGATGCACATTCAGTGCAAAATGCGATCGATCCTCGTTAATCGACGATGTCCAATTCTACAATGTTCGGCCGAAGATCACCGACTTGAAATACGACACTTTGCCACACCCACCATATTCTCCTCATCTCTCGCCCACTGACGATCACTTTTCAAAGCATCTTGGCAATTCTTTAAGCCAAAAGACATTTCGTTGCAAACAGGATGCAGCAACTTCATTCAAAGATTTCTTGGCGTCTAAACCTTTAGAGTTTTATTGTAAAGGCAAAAATAAACTTGTAACTCGATGGCAGAAATACATAGATGTTCAAAATTCCTACTTCGACTGATTTAAACTCTGAATAGATTAATTCGGGAATAAATGTTGATTTTAAAATTGGACATTACTTTCCGAACGACTTAATATAACCAGATAAAGGAATATTTCACTAAATCTGTCTTTTCTTTCTTTCTTTCTTTCTTTCTTTTCAGATAATTGCTTTTCTTTCTTTTTCTTTCCTTCTTTCTTTTTTCTTTTTTCTTTCTTTTTTCTTTCTTTCTTTTTCTTTTTTCCTTCTTTCTTTCTTTTCAGCTTATTGTTTTTTTTCGTTTTTCTTTCTTTTTCTTTCTATTAAATTAATTGTTTATCGCAGCCTTTCTTTCTTTCTTCGTTCTCATTCATATTGAAATCGTTCCTCCTTAACGATTTCTTTCTTTTTTTTAGTTGAGCCTTTTCTTTCTTTCTTTCTTTCTTTCTTTCTTTCTTTCTTTCTTTCTTTCTTTTCAGCTAATTGTTTTTCTTTCTTTTTTCTTTCGTCTTTCATTTTTCTTTCTTTCTTTCTTTTCCGCTAATTGTTCATCTCGTCCTTTCTTCTTTTTTCGTTATCATTAAACTCCTTCCTTCTTAGAAATTTCTTTCTTTCTTTTTTGTTGAGCTTTATATTATTTTCTTTCTTTCTTTCATTATTTCTTCTCAGTTAATTGCTCATCCGTTCCTTCATCTCATCATTTTCCCTACTTCCCGCCTCCCTCCTTCCTTCTTTACTTCCTTCATCCCGTTATCTCCCCTCCCTTCCTTCCTTCCTTCCTTCCTTCATCCCGTCATTTTCCCTCCCTTCCTTCCTTTCTACCTCACTTTCTCCTCTCCCCTTTCTTCCTTCCTCGTTTCCTTCCTTCTTTCCTTCCCTTTCCCTTCATTTTTCCTTTTTTTTTCTTCCTTCCTTCCTTCCTTCCTTCCTTCCTTCTGTCATTTACTCTCCTTCCTTCCTTCCTTCCTTTCATTTTTCTCCCATCCCTTTCTTCCTTCCTCCTTCTCTCCCTTCCTGCCTCCGTCCCTTCCTTCCTTCCTTCCTTCCTTCCTTCCTTCCTTCCTTCCGTCATCTTCCCTCCCTCCTACCCCCTCCTTCCTTCCTTCCTTCTGTCATCTTCTCTCCGCCTCCTTATTTTATTCCTTCCTTCCTTCCTTCCTTCCTTTCTTCCTCCGTTCCCTTACCTTCATCCTTCCCCTCCCTCTCTCCTTCATTTTTCCTTCCTTCCTTCATTCATTCCGTCATCTTCCCTTCCGCCCCCTCCTCCCTTCCTTCCTTTATTCTGTCATTTACTCTCCTTCCCTCCTTGCTTCCTTCCTACCTTCCTTCTTTCCTTCCCTCGTCCTTTCCTTTTCTTTCTCCCTTCCACCCTTCCTCCCTTTCTTCCTTTTCTCCTTTCCTGCCTCCCTCCCTTTCTTCCTTCCTTCATTCCATCATCTTATCTCCCGCCCCCTCCTTCCTTCCCTCCTTCCTTCCTTCCTTTCTTCCTTCTGTCATCTTCTCTCCACCGCCTTCCTTCTTTCCTTCCCTCGTCCTTTCCTTTCTTCCTCCCTCCCTTCCTCCCTTTCTTCCTTCCTTCCTCCCTTCCCCTCTCTCCCTTCTTCTCTTCTTTCCTTCCGTCTTCTCTCCCTTCGTTCCTTCCTCCCTTTCTTCCTCCCTTCCTTCTTATTTCGACTGATTTAAACACTGTTTAACTCCGTTAATACAGGAACAAATGCTGATTCTAAAATCAGACATTATTTTCCGAACGACTTCGGAAAAAAGAAGCATATTTAATCACTATTACCCACTGGACTTTGCAAATTTCTGAAGTATCAACCCCTTTACAAGAATTTATAGTGAGTAGGCCGTACATATCTGTTTATTGATAATAATTTACCCCAATATATAATAAAACTAAATAGCTGATAGAGTCAGTCATCAATCGACCCCAAACTCTCTGTCATTATCTTCCCGATTTCAGATCAAGTGCATGAGCAATCTGATTAATTAACGATAAGCAAAATCGATAAAGGAAATTGGTAATTTGCCGACACTATCAAATAAGGTTAGATGATCATTAAATAATTAGCAGTTTCAATTATTGATTAATTAATTAGGATATCCGTGACGGCCTTATATGCTCTACTCTGCCCCTTACCAGCTTGTTAAATTTGCAGAGACGCAAGTGCTTGTTAAGCGTAAATCGATTTTTTTTTTATTTTTGTTTTCTTAGTTTTAAGTGCTTAATACAAGTGGCTCTTAAGAATTGGGTATCGGCAGTTTTCTCAACATACAAATAAAAAAAAGGAATTAATTACAGAAAACTTCATTCGCGTAAAAACACTACTTAATATTTTGACTTTATTGTAGAAACAAGAATTTTCAACGGGTCTTCCTTCCGGGGGGTTCCCGTGCCTTCAGCGCTTATTAGGACGTAAGCACTACGCAGATTTCAAGTAGTCCTTGGTATGACGATAAATTAAATCCTGCAGCAATGTTCCTGATCGAAAGGTTTTGAAGAGCGTTGTACCAACTTTTAATTATCAGGTCAATCTGCTAGGGTCCCAGCTATGGGCAAAATAGTTAACACCCCGACAAAGAAAATATTATGAAAGTATAAAAAAATCATTTTTATAATAATAATAATAATAACAGCAATAATATTTGTGTAGTTGTTAAAAATATTTAGGTTTCGGTATAAAATAACCCATAGAGCCATATGCCGCTAAATAAAACCAACCAATCAACAATACATATTTATAGTAAAATGACCAACAATACATTTTATCTGCAGTTGAAGGCATACAATTGGGTTCAAAATATTTAGATTTCGGCATTAAATAACCCATAGATGTGTCAATATGCCGCTAAAAAAAATCAACCAACCAGCAATACATATTTAAAGCAAAATAACCAATAATACTATTTTATTTGTAGTTGAAGGCATACAATTGCGTTCAAAATATATTTATTTGAAGTCATAAAATTGTGTTCAAAATATTTAGATTTCGGCATTAAATAACCCATAGAGGTGTTGATATACCATTAATAGAATCAACCAACCAACAATACATATTTAAAGCAACATGACCAACAATACATTTTATCTCTAGTTAAAGGCATACAATTGCTTTAATTATATAACCCAGAGAGCTATTGATATGCCGCTAAAAATTGAACCAGACCTCAAGTGTTAACTCTTATATACGATCCATCTGTAAAGGTGCAGGGGAAAATGGTTGGTTTCATGTACCGCTCTTGTAAGTACCTGACTTTTCCTGATATTCTCTGAATTTGCAAAAGCCAGATGAGACCGAGTTCAACAACAAAATTGTGTAATGGCATAATTATACATCCTACAAAATGTTAATATTTAAAAAAAAAAAACACTAAACTGATATTTAGGCATCTTGACACGATTTGTATTTGTCTGAAGAATCACTAAAAAAACCTTTGAAGTATTTGGTTAAAAAGAGAACAAGTTAAAATTGTTTTGTATCAGACTAACTGTCTTGCCAACTGAGCAATGGAGAATCGTAACTTGTCCAAATCTAGTACCCACGTTTGATATGAATGTGACACAAGGTTAGTCTATTGTGTGTTTAGCGGCAATACATTGGAATAATTAATCCAGACCCCTCGGCAGTTCCTCTTTTAGGGCCGCCTTAAAAAGTAATATGAATTTACACATATGTACTGAATTGTTATGCAATATCAGTCTTCCTATAAGACAGTGAATGCTGGACAATCTCCTCACAGCTGAAGAAGAGACTTGAAGCAAGAGAAACAAAGAAAAGAGTACTGAACTGTTATGTAATATCAGCCTTCCTATATGGCAGTGAATGCTGGACAATCTCCTCACAGATGAAGAAAAGACTTGAAACAAGAGAAACAAAGAAAAGAGTACTGGCCCAGTGGAAAAGGACGTTGGTTAGATCCAGTGACTAGACCGAAAGAGTTGTGAGTTCAATACCACGGCACAGCAGTGGTGAAGCAAGACTTCGTGAGCTGAGTTAAAGGTAAATAACTGAGACATCCAGAAGAAGCATGGCACTCGGAACTAGAACAATCTATCCCGGTGTACGAAATAAAGGGTTCGGTTTGAAATTCCAATCAATTGAAGAAGGTCAGAGCGTACAACGGCCAAAACGTTGTGAAATCATAATACCGCATCTCACAGATATAGAGGTCGAATCGTTGTGAATATGTCAGTGAAGATGATGTTAATAGTTCGAATAATGTAAATAATGCAAGTAATCATAATACCGCATCTCAGAGATATAGAGGCCGAAATGTTGTGAATATGACAATGAAGATGAGGAAGACAGTCCGAATAATGTAAATAATGCAAGTAATCATAATACCGCATCTCACAGATATATAGGTATATATTATGGCAATGAAGATGAGGATATCAGTTCGAATAATGTAAATAATGCTACTAATTATGAAACCTTATCTCAGAGATATAGAGGCCGAAACGTTGTGAATATAGCAGTAATGATGAGGATAACAGCCTGAATAATATAAATGATGCAAGTAATCATAATACCTCATCTCAGAGATATAGAGGCCGAAATGTTGTGAATATGGCAATGAAGATGAGGATAACAGTCTGAATAATGTAAATAATGCAAGTAAGCATAAAAACCTCATCGCAGAGATAGAGACAGATATGGCTAGAGACGATTAAAATTTTAATAGAATAATAAAAAAAAAGTATTATTTACCTCAACTCAACATGTTTTGGTTCTCTATTGCTGTGGCATGATATTGAACTCACAACTCTTTGGGTCTAATCACTGGTTCTAACCAACCTTTTTAACCACTGGGTAAATGAGACATCTGAAAGAAGCATTCAATCTACCCAGGTGGACAAAATAAAGTATGTATATATGTATGTGTATATGTATAGTTAGATGAATAGACAGATAGATACGTTGTATATTTGTTTAGATGAGTGTGTGTTTGTAAATGTATGGAGGTATGTAAGATTTTATGTATATATGTTTATGTGCACTTATCTGTATGTCCGTATGTATATGCGTGTAGATGTATATATACGCAGGATGGAAATATAATATATATATATATATATATATATATATATATATATATATATATATATATATATATATATATATACACAGACATGACAGAATTGAATAGACACCAAGATAAATTTTATTTCTGATTTTTTTTAATAACCAAGATAAATTAACTTAGATTATTTGATTAAAATTGCAGATAACAATACTGGAAAATGCCACGAACCAAAGGTGCATCAGACCTATCCGAATTTCAGCGAGGACGTATCGTGGGCCAACATGAAGGTGATCTTAGTCAAAGAAAAATATCTGAAAATCTTTCAATACCCCTTTCTACTGTTAATAGAGTGAACGTACAATTCACCAGAGAGGGCAAGAAGTGCACAAAACCTCATCCAGGCCGCCCTGGGCCCTCTGAAAGAACCATGCGTCTTGTCGAAAGAAATGTTGAACAGGATCCACGTTGCAAGGCCTCTGACATAGCAACACAAGTTGATGTCAGTCCCAGAACAGCTGTCAGGTATGCTAGTTTGACTATGTTTGGTCCTGGGAGGGGGAATCTACTTTTGTATTTCCTTGGAGTGACACTCTCATACACATAGACACACATACATACAGATGTACGCATTTTAGTTGACACAAACACATCCATATAAACAATCAGAGGCTAGGCGCAGTTACTCCCTCCAACCTCCAAACAAGCATAAATAGATCCACTTTAAAAAAAAAAAATCCGTTTGTCTGTCTGATGATTGCAAAAGCGTGAAACCCAGGATCACAAACTCATATCCATACAATTGAATATGTTAGATCGATCACTGATATTGAGCGCTTTCCACTAAATACTGCACACACACACATGTAGTCGCACTGAGGAGCTGTGATACAGCGAAACAATAGTCTGCGAATGACATAATCTAGGTCTTGAAAATATATTTCAGTTGAGCACTGTTGAGTGATAGGATAATTCTATAAACAACAGCCACCTGCGTTAATGCAAAGCTCTTCAGTAAAATGAATTGAGCACTTTGGCTGATTGGCATTTGTTTTCATTCGTAAAAACAATACGCTAGATTTAGTTGTTTCTCTCTGTCAGATGAAGTTAGCTTAGTGGTAGAAACTCTGACTGATCGGTTGGGTTTCAATCCGGACTTGAAGTATTCGGATGTCTGGTCGCACTGAGGAGCTGTGATAGAGCGAAACAGTACTGTCTCCGAATGACAATATATATATATATATATATATATGTGTGTGTGTGTGTGTGTTTGTGTGTGTGTGTTCTCTCTGTCTGACTGTTTCTCTCTCTATCCCACACGTATCCACGTACCTACCCACTCACTTAAACATTCACATCCGAAACGTGTGGGTAAATACATTTATTTTCATAATGTTACTGTGCAAATTATTGCTGCTACCGTAGTAAGATGAGTTTCCATCCGTTAGTTGTCTTACACGTCTTTAAAACAAAACAACATAAATTTCACTTCGAAACACGTTTTACCAAAAATCGAAATGCCAACATTCCAATTTCTAATTTCAATTCCAGGCCTCTCGCCTCAAGCGGACTCGATGCATTCCTTTCTCTTTTCGTCTTTCAGATTATTTAATTTGTCAGTTCTTTAGAAACGAATCCTCACGCGTACTTGTTCACCAAAAACACCGTT